GTAGAAATTGTAGTAACGTCGTCGTTTTGTACAATTGACTTGATATGAAATAGTAGAAAAATGTCTACTTGATAGATTAATGTGCCAGGTAATTGCTACTGGGCTTATCTATAATACTAATGCCAGTTAAATGATACTGGGTTTATCTACTGTGTCAGTTAAATAATAATGGGCTTATGTTATGCCAGCTAAATATTACTGGGCTTATGTAACGTGCCAGTTGAATGATATTGGTCTTATTGCCAATGCCAATACAAAATAATAATATTAGATCTCGAGAGTGAAAACTTGATTATAGATCTATATCTATGATGATAAGATAAGATATCGACAACCAAACTGACCTTTGAACACAGTAGAACTATTCTCAAGTTGAAGAAAATCGAAGTTTTGTAATTGACGAAATTTTGAAAATTTGTCCTTAGATCTTGAAAAAAAATAATTTTTATTTGATGATCTTTATCGATAGTTGGAGGTGCCAGATGTTACGATCATCAATAGTGCTAGATATTATAATCAAACTTGATGTCAAGATGTCACGTTGAAGTACAATCAATTATCGTAATTGCCGAGGATCTTGAAATCGTCTTTAATAAGATGATCGTATAGAAGTAGCTAGATCTAGTTGATAATACGACCATTCAGAATGTTGCCAGTTGATAAGAGCATCATCTAGAAGTTGCCAATTGCTAAGTCGATCTAAGTATTTTACTATATTCAATGAAGAAACTTCTCTTCGTCTAAAACAATTACTTTACTTCAAAACTTGGAAAAGCTATTCACAAATAATTACAATGGTTAAATGTACTTGAATAGAACAGAAAAATTATAATTCTGCTAAATAAATGATCTACACAATAATGTAAAATATACGTCTGAATCCTAACACGTTCCGTATGACACTAACTAAAATCTAGGATCTTCCCCCGTGTATAGCGTTGTCACGTGTCTAACATCCCCTCTTTGCAATGCCAACCAATAAATGCAGCTCAATGTACAATAATTAATATTTCAAAACCAATCACATTTATTCTGACACATAGCCCTGCTGCGTGATGGAATTCCCCGAGCTAACTAGTTCTGGCTGGTAACCTTGGGCGGCTGTGTACGTGACAATCTGTGTTAGTAATTTATTTGATTGGACAAATTATCATACACTCTTTGCCAAAGTTACTCTGAGGCTGCACTAGATTTATCTTTTTTTTTTCCCCAAACAAGGACTATATACAGTTAGTAAAATTCTTGCTTTGTGACTTTTTAAACCTTATAATATCATCTTTCCCTTTGCAACACCTCAAAAGAGGCTAATCCTCAAGATCAATGCAAAAGATATGTATTTAAAAACAGCGAAGGTTGCAATATTTTCAGCTTTTTTTATGCTTACAACCAGATTATAGCACACTTAATGCAATTCTGACTCCTCTAAGTGTCTAATTCTACCAAAATATCAATCAACTTTAGGTTTATTACAAGCCTTGACTTACCATTAACATGCCGGACTCAAGCTTTTCAGCTATAGTTCATGTAAAACCATGCCAGAATGTAAAGATACACGGGCAGACATTAGCAATGGCTAAACATGGTGTTTAATTAAAATTTGTTGGTTACTTTTAGATCCTGATGCATTTTTTCCTGTAATATTAAGTAACAAAAATGTACAACAACAATGTGCCTTTTATAAAGCTTCTATCAACTCAGTCTGTCTTGGTATAAAGTTTGTACATGTTATTTCTGACACCCAATCTTGGATCAAGTTGAAATTTTACACAATTATTTCTTGTACCTGACAAAGCAAGAATCAATAAAAAAAATCAAATTAACCAATTAGTTAATAAACTATTGGTAATTAATTATTTTGTTTGGTATCCAACAAGAGAAAGAAATTTTACTTGACTAATGTGGTGGTACAAGTTGAATTAGTCCCCTTTATACTTTGTAGAGAGAAATATTTTATGTTTTTCTTTTTCTGTTGTTGTTTTTTTATCATTAAAAAAAATAAGTAGACCCCCCCCCCCCTTCCCTCGCAAGACATTTTGTTCTGATTCTATTGTCTTTACTAATTCTCCAGGCAAGTTTCCACAGAGGAAGGAGAGAGAAAAGCCAAGGAATTAAATGTTATGTTTATTGAAACAAGTGCAAAGGCTGGTTACAATGTTAAGCAGGTTTGTACTTCATACAAACATTCATTAGGGCTCGTTTGTGTGTCTGCTTAATACGTGTCAGATCTGGAAAAGAAAGAACATTAAATATGTATATAAGTGCTCAGATATACAAAAGTTTAAATTTAAATTCTATAATGTCAATGTGTTTCTGATGCTATATTGTTATTTTTATTGTTACCAGCTCTTTAGACGAGTGGCCGCAGCTTTACCTGGCATGGAACCAAAAGATGACAAGAATACAAGTATCCTTGACCTACTAACATTTACATTTCTCTCAGGTTTTGAACTTTATTCTTATACCCTTTACTGTAGCAGCTTTGTTTATCCCAATTAAAGTCTGATTTCAGTTGACTAATTAAGGTAAGTATTTGATTGAGCTCTTTTTTTCTTGGGTGTTCACTATTTTGTGATTTTCCTATAGTCTGTTTGTTGTTTTCCAAAAGGCTGTCACTAAGTTCAGTGTTTTCAATGTTAAATCTCAGCACAGTATTTTTACATTGGATGTCAGTCACCTAGCCTTGTTTTTTTTTGTTTTTTTTTGTTGTTCTTACAATTGCTCAGTATCAGACCTCAAGGTTAGGGTTAGTATTACAAACACTTTGTTGGCGATGTTTCATAGTTATGACAATGGTATACCATCATACAGGCAGCAGTTGATTTATGAACATTTTTCGATGATAGACAGCCAGAAGAGAATTTACAAGCTTTTCTTCTGTACATGATAGCTGTCTGGTCATGTATGCTCTTATCTTATATATAATAGAGACGTTACTTCAAAAAAGAAGATGATTACGTCCTACTTGTCATGCTTTTTGAACTGTCTTCTCCATTGTTCCTGCCCTCTGACCTCCCCCGCAATTCTGCTGGAGGTTTGGCCTGGATGTAATAATCTTCAACCCTGAAGGAACATCCCCAAGATAAAACAAAATAAAGGAACATCAGAGTTTAAAATGTTAGGACAATAAAAATTATTCTACTTAAATAATTTTCTTTTGTTCTACATTCTGGAGGTAATGCTGTAACTGTGCTTATCTATTCCTTCCTTCCTTCGTGGGTCAATTGGGAACTGCCTGTATTGTGCATGCCTGTAGCCAAGAAAGTCTGTGCTATTCCTTGACAGCTTGAACTCAGTGACCGAAGTGAAACTGAAAGAAGCCCCTGTGGAAGCTCCACCACCAGAAGGAGGCTGTGCTTGTTAACACTCACTTGTTGGCTCATTGTTAGCTTATGTACACACAAGTAGATCTACAGACTGACTAAGGAACTGCCTAGGGACTTCACATTTATACCTTCATGTTCACATCTCGTGTAGGCTACATTGAGTTGGTATTTAGTCTGCTGGGCTTTGATTACATCTGTTATGTTAGTAAACACATTTGGATTTGCGAATCTCACTTTCTGTTGATATGCAGTTTGTACTTAACGCTTTAGCTGCGGTTAGCCCTCTCTAATCGTTCATTATAACCTTATAATTCAACCTTATTGCACAATCCACAATATCATTTCCCATGTTCATAGCCTTCTTTGAGGTCACAGGAAATTACATTGATCTTTGATCTTGAAGGAGGAGCTAGAGCTAGGTAGATATTTGAGTATACCTTAAGTCAGGAAGAGGTACTTAGAACAGAAACCATTTCACTATTAATTTATTGTATCTTTGTTTTGTGGCCTGCTTCTAAATAGTTTGAATGCATAAAGTGTTATTGAATCTTTTGTTTCATCATGAATGTAATATTTGTTAAAAATCTATCCCAGCATGCTTTCTCTGTTTTCACCCTACCTCTTAGTTTTTATTGGTTTTCACCCTATATCTTTGTAGATAGTCATTATTTGTTATGTTGTAGTTATTTGTGTATTTATTTTCGGCTTGGCTGTTCCTTAACCTTAATAACAGTGCATGATGTGATACTAAAGCCAGAAGCCCCGGCAGAGCCCCAGACCCAGGAGGGAGGCTGCGCATGCTAACTGCCGTCAGAGCCTTGTTGTGTTTTATGTGTGGTGTGACGCCTGACATTCCATGTTGTGTAACGAAGCCCCGGAACCAGCGTTGGCTAACTCTGTGTGACCTGACATTGGTGTGTTTTGATGTGGCATGATCTGTGTCCTGACTTGAATGTTTCTTTGATGCACATTTGTTAACATGTAGCAAAAAAATACTTTTATCAATGTACATTTAAACCTCATCTCTTATCATTTTCCCTTTCTCTCTGTCTCTCTGTCCTTCTTTCAGGGATAAGTAACAAACACTTCTTAGCAGCATGGAATAAATCTGTTTGGTCATCAGGGCAGGATTTACCTAAAGGCAATTTAAGCTATAACGTAGGGCTCCCAAGAAATATTTAGCACTGACATAGAATATCTAGACTAATAGAACACCATATTTAAAATAGTTTAGGGCCTTTTCAAGTCTTAATACATCAACTAAACTCTTCTTCAGAAGAAATAAAGATGCTTTGGTTTAGCAGTTAGTAAGTTAAACATTGTCCATTGATTCAGTGTGTAACTTGTAACATTTAATTTGTGTTTTGTATTCTATTGTAACACTGCAAATAGAAATTTTTAGTTTGTTTCACATGGTTATCTCTATTATTTTATATGACCATTATAGGAAGATACTTGGTGATTTGAAAGTTTAAAAAAAAAATGCTGTACCGCTTTTGTTATTTATTCTTACTACATCTTAGGCATAAAACATTGACAGTTTTCTATATTTAGTTTCAACTTCATTTTGTAAAGGAGCACATAATCCTGTAGCTTTCAGGTTAGTGCTCTGTAAGTTATCATTGTTGCTGAGCATTGTTGCATAAGCTTGGTGTATTCACTTTGGTGCATGCAAGGGTAAAAAACACCCATTTCAGATCATGTGATCTGTTGCTATGTCTGACGGGTTATTTGGCCAACACAATCAGCAACTGCTTGACTTTTCCCCAACTAATGTCTGGTACACATTAGCATTGGGTGGAATCTGGTGTGCCCTTAACATCCCAAGATAAAAAAAATCCCAGTCTTCACAGATTTGAACCCTGGTCTCTTAAGCCAAGTGCTTTACTGCTAGGCCACCATGCCCCCAGATGCATGTATACTAATTGTTGGTACCTCCATAGTTGACACTGCTGCCACCTATGTTTCACATCCTCCACGTCCCTCTGTGCACATTTCTCTGTGCATGACTTTCTCCTCCTCCTGTTGTCACTTCAATTAACAAAGTTGCTTGTGAAAAACTAATGATCAAAATTCTGTAACACATTTTGTTACTGACAAGTGTGTGGATTTGTTGATTTTTTTGTTTGTTTGTGTGTGTGTGTGATATGTGTGGTCATGTGAAACTACTGCTAGAAACTGACCACTTGTTTATATACACTCTTAAACTTGAGTTGTGTAATTGAACCTTGTCTTGGGGATTTTTTGAGAACATATTTATTACCGTTTTATTTGTGCGTGTGTGAACATTAACTAGATTTCCCCCCCCCCCCCCCCCCCCCCCACACACACACTGATGAAACTTTTTGTTCCCTGTTATGAGGTATGGAATGAATGTCAAACAGGGTTTTTGGGGAGGCTCCAAGCTAATGAATTAGTTTCTCCTAGGTAAAGATATTTACTTGCAAACTTTCCTAAATCTGCCCTGATATGATAAATAATGTTGTAGTAAATCTTGTGATACTGTTTTGTTTTTTAAAAATGTTTGATCTTAAAATGACATTAAAATACATTATTGAAATGAAAAAATTGTGTATTGAGTTATATGAAATGTTTTCTCATTAAAGTATAAGCTTTGTCAGTTGTTTCTTCTGTAATATACACTCAAATGATGCCAGATTCATATAGCATCTTAAAAATATTTTTTGTTTTTCTGATTCGTCTGAATTTGAAACATAATTAAATAACATTTTAGGATTTTCAGACTTAAAGCCAAAGCCCTTGCATTGTCTTTGTTACAAAATACATTTAGGCTTTCCTGAGAAGTGACATAGAGCAACTAATAAAAAAAAGATGTAAAAAATGTTTACTTTTCTGTATTTGTGAAGACTCAATGCCTGTAGGATGATAAACTAAATTTAAAGAACTGCCTAGTTGTTCTCTGATCTAGATACTATTCCCTTGTCATCACATGATGTCAAGTAAATAAATTGTAGCTAAATTGTTGACTGAGTGTGGCTGTAAGCTTTTGCTTTTTTTTTTTTTTGTTTTTTTAAATTCTGATCATCGATTGGACATTTTATTTATTTACCATTGTATGTATATAATATACCACTATAGTTTTAATGATGGGATTTGTCACTGTATGCATTGATTCAAATACTTTTTTGTTTGTTTGTGTGTTGGACCGAGAGGGGTATCATCACTCTTGATACACACATTGATATTAAGTAACCTTAACATTTCAATGTAGTAGGCAATTTGTTCTATGATCTGCTCTATGTATCGACCTGTTCCACTCACTGCCCTTATGGAAATAGACTCTTCCATTTTTATCAGAAGCATTTTTTTTTATTATTGTCTAGACCTCTGTGATAGCTTTGGTAGGAAGTTATGAAAGTCCCACAATACCACTAGCTGCTACCAAGACTGGTTTACTACTATTAGAGAGTTCCAGAAACATTTAGCAGTAGCTATGAACTAATGTACCAAAAATGGAAGATTTATGTTACTTTATATTTTTGTGGTCCTAATGCCTAGCTGACTAATGGTTACTGAGGCACATGAAACAGAACATGTTTAAGTACACTATCCTACTACTGTCAAGCGTGAAATCACAGTTCATTATACACAAGATACTCATGTTATCTATTCTAGACTGTTTCTGAGGAAAATCTATCCATATATTGAACACTGTAATGATTAAAGTGAACAAGTCTTCTGGCTTGGTTACTTCCCTTTCTCTGCCACTAATTATAGCATTGATTGTTTTAATTTTTTAAACTAGAATTTAATTAAATTTACATGACATGTTAAATTACTACCCTATGTAAATCTCTTTGCATACTTTTGAGTTAATCTGTATGTATATATTAGTGTCATTGAACTAAATTCTACTTAAATGACTAATGTACAGATGTCATTGATCATTCAATAACAATTGCAAATCCTGGATTGCTTTAAAAAAAATTTTTTTTTTGTTGAGAAAGTGGGGCTCTAATATATCCTGGTAGATGTTTGGTTCATCTAATTTAGATCATTGTGGTTCATTCAAGGACTTAGACTCATATTTTTTAAAATTGTTTAAATAAATTAATATTTATTTATAACTATGTGCGTGTGTGTTTGATGTTGGCTTGCGTGTTATTGTTTAGTCGGCTTTATTTGTTGTTTGTTTTATTTTTAGCTGGGCATGCTCATTATTTGAGTCTTTCTATAATATAATGATGTTGATATGTCAGACTCCTATTAAAAATTATCACAAAATCAATCAAGAAAAGACAAGAATAACAGGCATATCAATATATGCTTTCAAAGATATTGAGTGGAAAAAAAAATTGAAACTTCTTGAAATTTACTAAGTAGAACTAGATGGAAAATTTATGACCTACAGTTTTGCTTATGAAATAGGTTTAATCTTGAAAAATATATAGCTAAAATGCCTAACATAATTATGCTTTAGTTTGAAGCTGTTTACTAAACAGAATGTTTGAGTTACGCACACCTCTCTCCCACCACACTAACCTGTGAAGAGTGTCATTTCTAAGGGTTAAAAGAGAGCTAGTCACCATTTTGGTGCTGGACTTAACTTTGGAAAGGCAAATGAAAGGTAGAGTCACCACTTTAAGACAAGACTTAGAGAACGATTGAGAAGTAGATTTGCCTATTAAGACAAGACTAAGAGGACCATTTAAGGGTAGATTCACCAATTTAAGACAAGACAGGGGACAAATGAGAAGTAGATTTGCCAATTAAGACAAGACTAAGAGGACCATTTAAGGGTAGATTCACCACTTTAAGACAAGACTACCCCTCTAAGACGAGTGGATATATGAAAATTTAGCTTTACCTTTTAAGACAGGACTTTATGAGAGGACAATTGATAGGTAGATTCACCACTTTGAGAAGACTCAGAGGAGAAATGAAATGTAGCCTCACCATAGCGAGGACTTAGTGACAGGACAATTGAAAGGTATATTCACTGGACATTTAGGGAACTACGTTCTTAGCACGCCTGTCAGTTGATATTTGATTAGAGACTCGGCATTCTTTTTACAAAACATTTGATCAATATTTTTTTAAAAAGTTATTGATTACTTATTGTTTCTAAAACATTGACACCATATCATTGAAATGTGTGGATGACCTTAACCTCTGACCCAGATATTGAACTGAAACCCAAAGAACCAATGATGGAAGTGACGGACCAAGAAGGACAGTGCTCCTGTCTATTATAAGAGCTCAATGTCCAGTGTACAATTGTTTATAGAATCTACTCATAATTAAAATAGTTTATTTATTTATTATTTTGGCAAAAAAAAATATGTTGATTATTTGAAGTACATTTAAGTTTGTGTATTTAAAAAAAAATATGTATTAGCTTCAAATCAGTGGCGTAGCTAGGAATTTGAATTTATTTGGGGGCCCGGAGGGCTTGACCTCTTAAGGGGCCTATGCATTTTGACATTATGACGAGATAATGGCGTAATATTTAATGTAAACAAAAATTTCGCTTTGCCCCCCCCCCCCCCCCTTTCCCTCAAGTGGGAGTTCGGGGGAATTTTCATATTCTCCCCCACCATAGCTACGCCACTGCTTCAAATGTCAAATTTTATCATTGTTCAACTCACTGGTCGAACTAAATAATACATTTCTTCTCCTGTCCGTGGATTTTTTTATTTTTTTTTGTCAACCAAAATGATTAAGAATTGCATTTGTGCTCAGTTGTTAGAAGTTTGAATATCCTGTGCGGTAAGAACACTGCATGGCTGATGTGGTTAGCGCTTCGTGTTCTTATCACGAGCCCGAAATCAGCTCGCTGACATCTCCTGACGACCGTTTGATTTTCAAAAGAGCTGAGCGAGGCTCTTCGAGCTTTAGGCGTGTAAGCCTGGTTGAACAACTGTTCTGTCTGGAAGAGATCCAAGTCAATGCCTATGTAAAACATTGCTATTTCCGATGTATCTGGCACTCCGGCGAATGGACTAGAATGCATGGCCGAAGGCCGAGTACACCGGGAACCTCCACCATTTTCCTATGTTGTACCAAGCTAACCGTGCAGGACTCGCCATTAGTGTAACGGTCCCTTGAGGAACCGCTCACGGATTATCGACAGGGACTTGGGATCTCTCTTTCAACTCCGCATCGTGCAATGGGAAAGCTCTCGCCTTCCCTTGGACACTCCCACAGCGATCGTTTCCACCCGCCTGAGGCAGAATAGCGTACCCGGGACTCCTGACGACCCGTGGGATATCTGGGATAGGACGTAATAATCTTCATTTAGAGTCACGTCCGAAAGTTATAAAATCATGGTGGCTGCCGTGTTTCGCGACTCCAACACAGGAGAGTATGTGATTCGTGAGCTGGACTTGCAGTCAGACAATTTAAGTCAAATATAAGTCTCTTGGCACTATTAACGTTTAGCGTTTTGATAGCGCATTGGATGTGCCGAAGCTCACTGTAATATAAAACAGCAATTCAATATCTACGTTCCTTGTCAGTTTTCCTTTAGAGACTTTATTTTGAATTGTAAAATAGAAATAAAATATCACGCCCTTGCTAAGATTAAAGGGAGACAATTTAGGCAAATCTATTGCTCTTGGCATAATTAAAATTGAGCGTTTTGATAGCACATTGGATGTGCCTACATCAGTGTTTCCCAAACTTTCTCCACTGGAATACATCGCACATTCGGAGTATTTAGCGGAACACTGGTTATTTTTGTTTTCGATTGAATTTTTTTGTTTTTTAAAATAAAAATAATTAAACCATATTCATATTCTAAATTTGGCATCTTTTTTGAAGTCTAAACTTGTAAAAAGTATATCGATATTACACGCATATGGCTATATGTATACACGGAGGCACAGAGACATACGTACTCTGTACTGGCAATGCATAACTTCTTGCTATCAGGAATAATATCCGTAGTCTAACATCTGATGAGGCGTCCAGCCTTTTTCTACATGTTATATAATTTATTTTTTATTCTCAAGAAGCATTGTCTTAGAGATTAATTCTCGTGTAGGCCTAGTGGTTAATTATTTCAATAGTTCGCGGAACACCTATTCAGGCTTTGAAGAAACACCAGGGTTTTCTGCGGAACGCAGTTTGGGAAACACTGAACTCGATTATTTTTAAAAATGCAATATCCACAATTCCCAGTCTTTAGGGACTGTTGACTTGGTTTCAACGCATCGTCACACCGGCTAAGATTGTGGACCATATCTGTGATCTTTGTAGATTTTAAAAAGTGTTTAAACAAACGCTTCACTTTTCAAATAACCTTTTCTTTCAATGTAAATTTAGAGCTACTGTGTATTTTAATCTTTTTAATCGTCTTTAGCCTTCAATTTATGGCCTTCATGTTAAAGATGTTGCTTAGTTTACATTTTATTGAAGTACCGTACACGACCTTCTTCTGGGTAATACATATAACAACTAGGCTTCTGCTATTTAAGCTCAATCAGTGGTTCCTAAGTTTGTAGTCCTCTTTTCGTAGCTACACTATTTTTGTGTGTTGTTGTTTTACAGTATTGCGAACAAGAAGAAATAACTCGAGGTAATTAATGTTATAGACCACTCCTCCTACGCCCCTGCCGCCTTGGTACTTTCAGGGCCGGCCTTAGGTAATAAGAGACCTTAAGCGAAGTGAATAGGGTGGCCCCAAATAAAATAGAAAAACAAAAAAAAACAACGAAAATACGCAATGAATTATAAACATGTATAGTCATATATCTATATCTAAATCAACAGAGAACAAATACATAGAGCGCTGATATGTGCGCCTAATATTTTGCATCAACAATTCGTGATCACCAGAATAAATTGAACGTTTCAACGCTTCACTAAAAAGAAGAGACAAAGTTCTTCTAACACATGTAGTCTAACAAATAGATCTAGGCCTAAACATGTGTAAATGTACCTTGAATCATTGTAACCTTAGAGCTAGAAGGCCTAGACATAGAGCCAGACTTCTACTAGGGTTTGAGATTTGATTCGTGTTTTGCAATTTTTTTTCACTAAAATAAAATTTCTTTGTCATGTGCGAGGCCCCACCAAGTGGAGGTCCTAGGCGGTTGCCTCGTTTGCCTATACCTAACGCCGGCCCTGGTACTGTAGTTAATGTTTTATAGGTTGTCTTTTCAGGCTCGCAAAGCATTACTTTCGTTTGCCATTTTGTTGTTTGTTATTTGCCTCTATTGACGCCAGTTGCTGTAGAATGGTCACATGGTATTGAATGTCTGATTTGTGTTGGAAGTTTGACTTCTGCTGACTTCAGGCCAAGAGAAGCACAAGAGGTAACATATGCATTTAGATGGAGTGATCTCTCTTGGTTCTTAGCTCATCTTACCGGTAGGATTAAACTCAAACTATGGCAGGTATTTCAGAAACTCAGCGCCGATCACTAAAAACAAAATACGAGTTATTTCCCCTTGTTAATACTTCTCCTGGCCCGAAGAGATTGAATGAGAGACTGAGTCACGTTTGTCTAGACTTGACTTGTGCTGGCTTCTACATGTGCGATGTAATATTAAAAATAAACAACCATTCCCGTACATGTGTCGATATTTTGTGTCATATTGTTGTAGCATTTCTACGTTGTTGTTTTTTTTTGTTTTTTTTTAAATACGGAAAACAAACTAACCCTAAAAAATAAACTAATGACTGAATTGTTTCCCTTTTATCATTGAACCTGTGGAAGCATGTGACTTATAAAATATATATATATATGCATCACACTTGTGTTGTGTTTACTACGTTAACAATGTGAGCAATTGATGGCAATTTAACCAAATCACTTCAGACAAATAAAACAACCATATTTTAAAAATATATTTTTTGAAACATTTCCCATGGTTCGAAATCAATAAAATATATATATATCGTGACATCCATGATTGTACAGGTACAAGATAACTAAGTGAATAGAATCTTAACCTCAGGTCTGATTTCTCATTTGAGATTCGTCAGAGTTGAAAATGCACACAAAACAATTCCTCATTTGTGAAGTTAACGGCGTTTAGAACGAGAAAGCACTTCAACTAATGAATGATTGATTTAAAAAAAAAGTATTAACATTTTTACCATGCCCTTATTTCTTTACCCTCTCGAGAAAAATCCCAGTAACGCCAATGTATATATCTATTCAGAGTGTATAAAATTCTACTTTGATGATATTTGGTACATCCAGACTGGGTAACATTAAAGAACAAAATACTAAAGGACTAACATAGTTCGAGATATGGCAAAGAGTCATAGACAGAACACTTTAAAACAAGGCTGAACTAATTAGGTAAGATTTAAATAGATATATTTCTTAAAAAGATTGCTATCAATGCCAAAATAATACAACTTTGCAGCTCATTGTTTGTGACTTTGTACATAATGGTAGAAATGAAGATTTATTCTGATGGGCTTTGGATCCATTAGAAGACATTGCCTTGACGAGTGGTGTTCAGTATACTTAGTCCATTTCGAGACTAATCGATGCATAACCTCACCAAGTAACGAGGGTGTCACGTGGACAGCACAATGACCGGCCGGCTTGTTTCAGGGCCAAGGCCATTCAGATCTGCTTAAAACCACTATTTCTTTTACATTTTCTTTTAAATGCATAATTGTAATGACCTTTATATATGTATAATGTTTAAAGCACCATTGCCGAGGATATTAAAGAAAAGACTTTTCTATGAAGTCCTATAATCTGCAAGTGACCCGTCTTTCGCTTCCGAAACAGCTGGCCAGTTTAGCTTCAACAGCGAATCAGCGACCTTCTAAACGACAGCCGAGGACTGACCACAACCCCATGCTTACTGGTCATACCAAAGATAACGAAAAAAAAAAAAAAAGTTTTCATCCGTTGTGTTTCACTTTTGGTATGTTTCTACCACTTCTGGTCAGAAAACCAAGGAGCTTGCACAACTCTCGTCTGAATCTCGGAGCTGTAAGACAGTACAGAAAGAAGTGGATAGAGTTATTGGAGTATTGTAGACAATTGACCACTGCCCAGGCCAAGGACAGCCTGGCGTGTTTGCGATCGTCGATCACCTTGGACCAGTACGTGTAGCCGATGATAAAGATGACGATGGGAGCATTCAATGCCCAGAAGGTGATGGTCACCGCGAGAAGAGTTTTACTAACACTGGACGTTGTCCTGCGAGACGGCTGTTGACCTTCAGATCTGAGAGAATGACTCTTGCGTGAAATCTGGGAAGTCGCTGAATTTTCACTAAAGTTCCCAGAAAGCTTTGCCCTCTGATGTTTGCTTAATTCTGATAACTCAGATTCGTTTCCCTCAGTTCTGGTTAAAGGGATATATGCGGATTCTATGCTAAGTCTTTGTGAATGTCGATTGTTAACTTTTTCAATAGATGCTGGAATTTTGTCACCTATAATTTCTTTTTTGAATGATCCGTCGCCAGAAGATTCTCCTTTGAATGGTCTGTCGTCAATAGTTTCGGCTTGGAATGGACCGTTGCAAATAGTTTCTCCTTTGAATGGTCCGTCGCCAATAGTTTCTTCTTTGAATGGTCTGTCGCCAATAGTTTCTTCTTTGAATGGTCTGTCGTCAATAGTTTCGGCTTGGAATGGACCGTTGCAAATAGTTTCTCCTTTGAATGGTCCGTCGCCAATATTTTCTGCTTTGAATGGTCTGTCACTAAAGATTTTAGTCTCTTCCCAGTTATCCAACTTAAACTCAGGAATTTCAGAGTCTCCCCTGTGCGTATATAGACAGACATCATTGAGATGGCCAGTTTTCATCGGGTGCACTTTATTAGATATATTCTTACGGATATGAGAAATACATAAGGGATTCTTTTTCGTGACTCCGTCGTCTGCTGATGGAAACACGTCAACGCCGTCTGCTGCAAAAGTAAAGCGCGTGCTTACGCTTGAAGGTGATACAGCAAACTGTGAGACTTCTTTGCATGTGGTGTCTGAGCAGAAGTTTTCTGGCGGGAAAGTTAACGGGGCTAGAGTCTGGATGCTTTGCTTTCGGTTGAAATTATTTTTACCACCCAATTCGCTAGTACTTTTCAAGGACACCAGAGATGTTGAAGAGTCGTGGCATCTAGTCAAGTGCACCTCGCTTTGAATAATAGACTCATTTCCTGTTAATTGGTTTACATCTGTTGGCAGCAAAGTTTGGACTGCAGCAGACGAGATGGCTTTGTAGACAGCAAGATTTCGCTCTGGGAATAACTCTATTTGATCTTCTGCATCTTCATTTAAAGGAGTGGGGTCGATGACGTAAACCGGAGCTAAATGACCTGACCCAGTGTTGCTATACTGAAAAGATGTTTTTAATAAGCTGGTGTCCGAAACCGAGCTTGACCTGTGAAACAAACGCGTCTCTTCACTTCGCGTGTCGCTCGTTGACAACAAGCTGCTCCGATTGGCTCCGAAACCAACACCGACGTCGCTGCATTCTCCCGGAGTTTTTCGGGCGTTTTCGCCAATCCGAAGTTTAGCCAAGTGAGACGATTTAAATGTACTCGTCAACTTCCGCCTGAAAAATAGCCGCCTCTTGTGTGAGGCCATGACACGCTCGGACTGAAAGAGTTGTCTGATGATGATGACGTCACAGGCCAGCATGAAGAGAAAGGGGAAGAGGCAATAGAAGCACAGATCTATCCATGGCCATACTCTCTCAATAAACCTGGAGGAGAAAGAAAGAAAAATTAGAAACTATAAAAATGTTACTTTTAAAAAATAACAGCAAAGTTTATACGAAGTGTAATTGTATCAATCGGTTAGAATCAGTCATGTAACTAAATTTGTAATAGATCTATCCATCCATGCATCCATCCCAGTGGCGCTACAGCCTACAGCTCATGGACACATCCCTCCATTCAGATCTTTCCTGGGCCTTTCTTCTCCGCACCCTAACCCCAAGCTGTTGCAGATCTGCCTCCACATCAAGAATCCTTCGCATTCGTGGTCTGCCTTTGGGTCTTTTGGTTTTTGCCTGTATACAGTTTTCGCTCCTCTGTTATTTGACAAGACTAACAATAATAAATCTGTGCGATTAACCCTTAAAACGCGTGTGTTAGTTTAGCCTCTAAACATCAGAATTGTAATTCTATTTTGTATGCACCCATTGTAAAACATCTCAGCACTTTAAGGGTTAATAATATTTTTAGCATTTTGTTTGTTTAGCACTATTTCATGCTTTTAGCTTTCTTAATAGGCTATGATCTAATCACTTATCTGGACCAGTTGGGAAATTGTGTGTGTGGGGGGAGGGGAGAAAGGAATATCTTGGTGGATTTTACGGTAATTGGTTTTAAAAGTATTACAAAAAAAAAGGTGAACGACCTCGGGCCGACGTGTTAACCACTCTGCTAGTGAGATACTTGTAACTGGAGAAGATTCTAAAGTTATATATTGTTTGTTTCCATTTAGAGTGGCGACCAATTCAGTCAAGTGATATTTCTTTCCCTTGTTGATATACAAACAAAAAAATTAATTACCAATAGTTAATAAACTAATTTGTAAATTTTTTATTCTTGTGTTGTCAATCAAAGAAACAATTTTCAAAATGTCAGCTTGATCCGAATATTGAAAGCCGGAGAAATAACGTGTATACGCTTTTTACCAGACGGACAGACATAAAGACAGACAGAGTGAGTTGATATAAGCTTTGTAAAAAAATCAGTGATCAATCAATTACAATATTTAGAGATTTTTTAGGTCGCCGTGCTGTTGAGTCACTTGGTTCATTATCTCCTGACCTTGTTCTAACGTTTGTTTTGTTGGCCAACCGTCTGCCTTGTTCTTTTTGATAAAGTGCACATATCATCATTGGCCTCCTTCAGTTCGTAGAACGACTATGGTTCATCTCGAACACTTTTTCCATATGGCTGTGGAGCCCTATTTTGGAGAGACGATCCCGTCCATATATATTGCAGGTCAAGGTGGCTTTCGCTGTAGTGGTAGAGGAGCTGGCCATTTTTTGTTTGGCACGCTTTTCTTCAAAAGGTGAGGCCAATTTTTCTCGCTGTCCCTAGCTTTCTTGGTCACAGTCTTTCTCCAAGATTCAGGGGCGTAGCTAGGAATTTTCCATCATTTGGGGTCCCGGGGGCTTGACTTCTTTGGAGACCCGTGCATTTTTCGTAATACTTAATATTTAATGCGACCCCCCCCCCCCACTCAAGTGGCCCGGGGATATTTTCAAATTCCCCCCTCCTCCACCACCCTAGCTACGCCACTGACTAGATTACAATTGTATTTGAGGCATCACCTCTTAAAACAAAAAAAATAAATTATTATTTTGTTCTATGGATATCCATGTTAACTTAATCATTCAGATTAATTTGGATTTCCTGGCTGGTTCAGGCAACCCGTTCCATGTTCTAATGTGACTTAGAAAGAAAGAATATTTATGAAATTGACCCTAGAGTATGGGATTAGTAAGAAATGTATCTTTATTACAAATCTTATATCAACTTATGTTGCCTGTCTGTCTGTCTGTCTGGCACCAATATTGTATACTTTTTTTCTCCCACTTCCCATTCTCGGAGCAAGTTGAAACTTTGCACCACTATTTATTGTCGAAGACAACATATAAATCAATCAAAAAGGTAACCAATTAGTTAATGAATTAGTGGTAATAAATTGATTTGTTTTACATAGAAAAAGGAAGCTAAATATTGCAGTATTAAGACAGGTAGAGTCATATGGCAGTAATTTTTTTCTGATTTCTAAAGTTGTTTTTTTTTAGTTTTTTTTTACGGTAATATTTT